ATTGAAACAGGGTGATAAGGTGGGTGGTCTGTCTTGGGCATCCTCTGTCACTCAATCTTTACTCTTCTCAACACCTACCACTACCTTCCTCATTCAAAGGTTGTTCTTTTACTTTTGTCTCACTATCTTCTCAGTTATCTGCTAACTCCTGTAAAAGTGTTCCAGTTGACGCTCCTGCATTCTGACAGGGGACTTTCTATTTCATGCAGGAATCCCCTTCAGAATAAGCCTACAGGTGCCATTCAACCTGTGCTCAAATGTCCCCAGTGATGCAGCAATCATGAACTGAAAAGCAGCTGACCCCCTCATAGGACAGCCCCATTGGTGAGAAAACACCTCCTTCTCCTGACCTGGGATCTGTTTCTTCACAGACACCACCCATTGCCTGTTCTGCCCTTGGAGAAGAGGGTGAATCAGTCTCTTCCTCATGATAGCACCTCAAGTATTAGAAAACAGATGTTCTCTCCTCTGTCCTTCTCTCTTCCAAGTTCCATCACAGCTTCTATTTACCACCTATAGTCTTTACAGCAGTCTGTGGTCTGACGTGGGAGTTGGAATTGTCCATGATCTCTAAAATATTTTAATCTTCCTTGGGAACCTTGTCGTGATCTTGGAGGGAGTACCTTGAAGGTGGAAAAATATACAAAAATAGAAACTGAGAAAAAAGGTGATGACAAGCTAATGTCCAAATAGTCATGAAAGTTTCCTTAACATCACTGCTTACTGTGGGGTAGTCCCATATGTCTTTGGCACAAAAACAGTTGAAGAACAAAAACCAACAAAACAAAAAATATTCTCATGGAAAAGGAGGAAGTTGAGGATCATGGGGAATTAGGAAGGCGGTATAATTGGGCAGAAAGCCATGAGACAGACTGAGTTGTAGGAAAGAAGTGAAAAACTATCCACACAATGGGTAGTCTGGCTTCCTGAGAAGCAGAGAGAAGGTGAAGCATGCTGTCATTTAGAAAGCTCATCACCTGTAGGACTGCTTAGCGAAGACACTTACCTTCTTCTAAACCATTTCCCCACTGGGGATCATTGGACATTCCTTGAAGGGTTGTGAGGATTACATGAGAGAATGATTACAAAACAGAAGATAAACCTGCGGGCGGCCAGATGAGTGAAGCAGCCTGGGTCCTGGGTGCCAGAGGGAAGCTGGTGCCGGCAGCTGGGGCAAGGTAGGCCTAGTCTTGCATGAATTTTCATGCATCGGGCCTCTAATCCTATATAATAAAAGCCTAATATGCTAAGTGTCCGGTCATCTATTCAACCAATCAAAGCATAATATGCTAATGATATGCTAAGGTTGCTCAACTGCTCGCAATGACGTGCCCTGACCACCAGGGGGCAGATGCACCAACTGGTAGGTTAGCTTACTGGTAGGTTAGCTTACTGCTGGGGTCAGGTGATCAGGACTGAGTGAGATGGGCCAGACATGCCCTGGAGCCCTCCCGCAATCCCTCCCTGGCTGGCCAACCTCCTGCGTCCCTCCCCAGCCCCAATAATGCACCATTGGGGCCCCTTGACCTGGCCTGTGCTCTCTCGCAATCCAGGACTCCTCAGGGGATGTTCAGAAAGCTGGTTACAGTCCAATCCTGCAGGCCAAGTGAAGGGACCCCACTTGCACACAAATCTGTGCACTGGGCCCCTAGCGTGTGTGTATATATATATCGGTTCTCAACCTGTGGGTCGCGAACAATGAAAATACATCCTGCATATCAGATATTTACATTATGATTCATAACAGTAGCAAAATTACAGTTATGAAGTAGCAACGAAACTAATTTTATGGTTGGGGGTCACCACAACATGAGGAACTGTATTAAAGGGTCACGGCATTAGGAAGGTTGAGAACCACTGAATTATATATATATGAAGCTGGGATCCAAACCCCAGGGGTCTGGTTCTTCCATGGCCTGTGGTTTTAACCCAATGTCCTGTCTCAGACACTCAGTTTTTGAGTTCAGTCTTTCTAGGTCCTGGTGGCTTAGTTTTGGTCACAAGTGCGCACACTACTCACTACAAGTCTTTATTTTAGCTGATTCCCTGAGTTTCCAGGATTCATTTTTCTTAACTGTTGTTTTTTTCTCCCCCTCTTTCCATCTTATGAGTTAATATGAGGAGAAAATAGCAGGTTATTTTCTCTAAAAGTTATCTTATCTGCTTTGTTTCTATTGTAGAAAGTCAGCACATGCCTTGAGCTAACACCAGGAATGTACTGATTTTCCATGGAGCCCTGGGGATTCTCCAGACCCAGCGCCTGGAATCAGTCTCAGCAAACTTTCAACGCAGGTTGCTTTCCCCCATATTGTTTAGTAAAGTGCTTCTAAATTTTTTATGGCCATGAAAGTATTTTTCAGCCAGGTCAGGCAGAACAGGTTGCTTCAGATTTTTGAGTCAGCCCCAGAGCTCTGCAGGCTTAAAAGACTTGGTCACTTTTGTTACTGTCTTCCAGGTTTTGGTGCTGATCAGCAGCAGACAAACCTGCCAACTTCATCTCTCTCAAATTGCCATATTTTTGTTTTAAATGTGGTACCAGGTGGTTTGAGTGGATGCATGGTCTGCTAGAAAGTTGACTGTGTCTCTTTCTCCACCTCACTAACCTGGGTAGGACAAAATATTTTCTGCAGTATTTCCATACATTTCTCCTTTCTGCTGCTTTGTTGTTGTTGTTGTTGTTGTTGTTGTTCTTGCATGCCTCATTTCTCCACACAATTAAATAAAAAATACAGAGATATTTAACAATTTGCAAAGGTAAGTTATTTATTTTAAGTTTCCCCCAGGTGCACTTGATTAAGGAAAGCTCCCTCAACTTGGAACCCCAGTGTCCTGGAAACTGGATGTGTGTTGGTTAGAAGATAAGATACACCTGTCGGCTTCAGGGAAGCAGTTGTCCCTGTGACTGCGTTTACAGTCCTTATGCATACCCCTGGGATCACACTATTACAATCATGCTGATTCTAAATTAACAAGCTTGTCTTCTCTAGAGAGAGATACTCTATGGGAAAGGGCCCAGACCATATTTGCCTTCAAATTTCCAGTGAATTGCATGGTTCCTGGCAGATAATTTGTTGTCACAATATCTGCTAAATGAATGAATGAGCATGATTCAGACAATGAAAGTTCTCTTCTGCACAAAGCATTGACGTGGTCTTTTGGCAACATTAGACTTGGAAAATGTATCTACCATTTAACCAGTGGTACATGAATACAGTGTGTTGACCACATCCTGGGGAGAAATTCTATAGTTTCACTGCTTTAATCATTCTTTTGTGTCAATATCCAGCATGAAGTAAAACCACACAGGAGTTACTGAGTTCTTAAAGACCTCATTAACTGAACCCCACACACAAAAGGTCTATTTTAAATGCACTGCATCTTTAGGGCTTTAGGCAGTTTTTCCTCTGTGACTAATAAAGTATTTTTCCTTGGATTTAACTTTTTATATTTACATTTTCCCCAGCCTGGTTTGTCATTACTTGTTTATATTTTACCTCTATTTATTGTATCTATTCCTCTATTGCAAACCACTTGAGTCCTTTGGGAAATGAGGTGGGATGTGACTAAATAAATGAAAAGATGCTTTTATGTCATAGGGAGGTGATTGGGACTCAAATAAGAGACTGTGGGGGAGGCGATGGAAGTTGTCTTTCTGTTTTCCACTGGTCCATTCCATGGTCACTTAATTCACATTGCTGCTTGCTTCTGCTAACTAATGTAGATACTGGGGAATCATACCTTCCAAAATAGTGACTGGAAGCCTTTTAAAAAAATAACATAACTTAGTCATGGCACTAAAAGAACCAGTGATTCCACCTCAACAGTTCTTTCCAGCCCCCAAAGAACTCCTCGGGTTTTGTTCTTCAGGTCATTAGGGCTGGGCTGCCCATGAGGACATTCTTACTACTTCTTGGCATATCAGTTAATAAAGCAACAGGCTGCATTTCTGGGATCTCTAGGGGATATAGGAGTAGCATAAAACCCTCAAGGGACTTCAGGTCAATGAGGAACAGAGTTTGGTACGTGGCATATGAAAACAGTTGAAATAGCCCTGCATTTGGAATAAGAACTGAGTTCATGGCCAGGCTATGGGATCTTGAGCATTTTACCTAGTTTTTACAGTCTTCATTCCCTCACTTGTCAAACAGAGCTGATAGCAAGGGTATTGTCAGGATTAAATAAAAGAATGAATAACAAAGAAGTTTATAGCTTACAAAACAATGTGTGCAGAATACATCTACACTAATAAAAGGGAAACATGCAAATTGACTGTCCCTCCACTACACCCACCAGCCAATCAGGGTGCGTATGCAAATTAACCCAACAAATATGGTGGTTAATTTGCATATGCAGGCGTGGAGCAAAGACTGAAGATGACTGGACTGAAGACTGAAGAGGCTTGGCTTCTCTGCTGTGGCTGAACCAAAGGCCTGGGTCCCGGGTGCCAGAGGAAAACTGGTACCGGCAACCAGGGGAAAGAAGGCCTATTGTACGAATCTTCATGCAACGGGTCTCTAGTGTTATAATAAAGAGTGTTTAAATTTGATATAAAATGATACACTTGAAAGAATTTCGGAGGCATATTAATCTGGATTCATATGTACTTACTAGCTGTCAGGTTGGGGTGAGGTACTTGACATTGATGAGTCTCAGTTTCTTAATCTGTACAATAGGTATATCGAAGCCTGCATCACAGAGCTCCTGTGAATGTTAGCAGCAATGTATGGGAAATATAAAGCAGAGTGCCTGGCACATAATATGCCCTGAATAAATGGGAGCTTTCATTTTATGATTACTCTAGAGTAACAATAGAAATCACATATAATTTAGCCCTGGATTGTTTGCCTACAGCCTGTTGGTAGTGTAGGAGTTTGGAGAAGAGGTACACCAACTGTATTTGGTGTCTTATTAAAATGGCCTTAGGGAAGAGGAGTGATTTAAGATAGGCCTGCAAAGGCAAGTAAGCTTTACTTAGGAGGAATAAACAGTAGTTTACTTACCCAGATTAGTACTCTGGGTGAAGACAGGATGGTTCAGTCAGGATCACACATCCTTCTCAGATCTTCTATAGCACCTAGCACTGGAGCCCGAGTTATTTACACATCTGCCTCTCTCCCTGTGAACTCATGGGAGGAAGCAAATTCATTGTTTTCATCTTTGTACCCATAAAGTAGTGGCTCTCAATCTGGTGACTTTCAACCCATGAACTTTCAACCTGTAAAGCTTTTAAAAATACCCAGGCTGGGGCCTCATGCCAGTCCCATTAAATAGAAATCTCAGGGTATGAGTTTTGGGTATTATTGATGCTTTTCAAAGCATTCCAGGCATTTATCACATGAATCCCAGTTGAGATCCAATGCCTTACAGCATCAACCACACATGAGTATAGTCATGTGCTACATAACAACGTTCCATCAATGAAGGATGTCCTAATGCATGCTGACAGGAGAAGATTTGACTTTGGGTGGTGGGCACACAGTGCAATATACAGATATTGTAACATAGAAGCCCACACCTGAAACCTCTATGTTCATGCTGACCAATGCCATCCCAATCAATTAGTATATATGTATATTTTAAAGATTATAGTGGAGCTTAAAAATTCCTATAACCTAGTGCTGGTGTAGCCATTTTAATGTGATAGCCAACATTACTTGTGTTTAGGGTGATGCTGATGTAAACAAACCTACTGCATTGCCAGTCATATGAAAGTGTAGCATTTACAGTTATGTAAGGTGCATAATACTTGATAATGATAATAAGTGACTATGTTACCAGTTTATACTTGTAATTATTAGAGTGTACTCTTTCTGCTTATAAAAAATGTTTGTGTAAACAGTGTGCTGTGCCACCCTGGCAGCAGCCTCACATATCTCACGATTACCGAGACTCTTGATTGCATCATTTTAGCTTGTGCTTGATTTAATTTTGTGTTGTTTTGTACAATGAGATGCTAGACAGGCTTGTAGCCTAGGATGGTAGGCCATACCATACAGCCTACCTGTAGTGCTAGGCCAGTCCACCTAGGTTTGTGTAAGTGCATTCTAGGATATTTACACATCCACAAAATCACCTAACAATGCATTTCTTAGATGTACCCCTGTCATTAAGTGGCACATGATTGTAAATGCATATTCAGTTGGTGAGGTGGTGCTGTGAAACAAAACTTGCCAGAAAGCAGGGCTTCCTGTGATTAGGCATTGCGGGTTCTAGCTGCAGCTCTTTCCTGACCGCTGGGCAGGTTCTTTGGCCTCCCTGGCTCTGGGCCTCATCTGCCCAATGGGGAGGCTGGGCTCTGTCTCCTCAAGCCTGGGTGTTTATGGTGCAGCTAAGCAGACACTGTCTACCCTCTTGTTTGGGGATCCAGGCTTAGTGGTGAAATTGTGGGGGTGCTCCTTTTGTTTTCCCCATAGATACGCTTCTCTCCTCCCACACCAGCCTTTCTGAGAGGTGCACCAGAGGTGGTCACCAAGGACATTTGAAAACTGTTTTCCTCTTTTCCTGAAAAAATGCCATGCCATTATCAATATGTGTTTGTTTTGTTTCTAATGAAGGAAGTGAACCCCTTTTATTGGAAACACCTTGTGGAAGGAGGCGAGGGCCTCTCTCTGCAGTCTGGCAGCTGAGAGCAGAACTGCCGGCTGCTTCCCACCTGTCCCCCTAGCCAAGACTGACACTGCCCCAAATGCTTTCCATACGTAAACCTTGGTGAAGTTTCCTATGGACAGAGAGCAGATTGGGCGCCAGTCACTGTTTCTGGCCAAGGAAACTCAAACCACATGCTTGGATGGGAATCAAAAAGTGGTTCTCCCAGAGGCACAAAGTAAGCTAGTGGCACCTTTTCGTCCTAGTCATTGACCCTTTCTCAAGGACCAGGCACCAGCCAAGCCTATAAAGTAATTGCAAATTGCAGTACTGAAAACCATGTGCACTTGGATAAGGACAACTGATGCTCCTCAAGAGGCAGTCATCCACTTTACCTCCTAAAAAGCAACAGAGGGGCCTGGGAACTAGGAGGAAGGTAGTACACATGGGCAATTTCATCTGGCATCCCAGCTTCTCAGTCTCAGTATAGGGCCAGGAGGTGGAGCACAGACAGGTCCTGTGCCCTGGTCCTCCTGGGTCCCAAAGTGAGTATCAGAGACCCCACTGACTGGGAGCCAGGTTGATGGCCTCAGGTTTATGAGAGTTTTGAGGAAGGGCATTAGGCCTGTTGGTGGGTGGTGGCCACAGCCATCCTGAGAATAAGGTGTCCTGCAAGGACAAAATCAGCAGCCTTAGAATCTTCTAGAGAACAGTCCCTGACAATGCTGCCCATCTGGCAATTTGTAAATATTTTCTGTCAAAAACCCTATTGGAGCTTCAGTTCAGCATGGTGCCAGGGAATGAGCTCAAGCTCTGTAGCCAGAACAAAGTCTCCTTTTTCCTACCCCAGTTAATTGCTTCTACATCTAACCCAGTCATTTAACAGCCTTGGAACCTCAGCTTCCTCACCTGCAAAATGGGAAGAATGGTAACCACTGCAGAAACTTTTGCAAGGATTAGCTCTATAGTTTAGTTAAATGAATGGGCTTGGAACCCGGGATGCCTGAGTTCAAAGCCCTCTCTACCACAGTCCAGATCAGTGGCCTTGATGAAGTTAATCATTCTCTCCCTGCCTCCTTTTTCTTACCTGTTAAATGATGATGATAATAATAGGACCCACCTCATCAGGTTGTAGTGAGGACTGAATGAGTTAATACTTGTAAAATCTCTTGGAATAGTGTCTGGTACAGAGTAAGCATTCAGTAATAGATGAGTAAGCACTCAATAACAGGATGAGTTAACATTTATTGTGCGTTACAGCCCTTCACACAGTGGCTGGCATTCCGGACATGCCCAATGACTGCTGGTTATTATGACAACTGGGTCTATTACCCACTCAGCCAAGGAGAGGAAAATTTGTCCTCACCTCTCATTTCCTCCCTCTCGACCTCCTGCTATGATTCAGATGTGCTCTGAATCCCTGGAGGCATCATCCTGGCCTTGAGGGAGGAGAAGGAGGAGCTGTGGGCCAAGTGAACGAGCAGGGATGTCAAACTGGCAGCTGGGAGCCCAGGCCAAGGATCAGCTGACCTTTCCACAGGAAGAGGAAAAACCACAACAGCCCTCCCTTTTCTGAGCTCTCACTGAGTCACGCTAAGTCATTCTTGAGTCTCGCTCCCGGACAAACAAGTTTCTACACAAGCTGGAGAATGTATATTTAGGATCCCAGGCTCTGTGCTCAGACCAGGATGATCTGATGAGGCTACCTGGGGGAAGAGGGAGATAGACTGTAGGGGAGAGGGTTCTGGCTTCCAGGGGTCTCTAAACCCCTGAGGCAGCTACAAAAGAGGCTGTGTACCTGTCTTAAAGAGTTATATTCTTTTTGGAATCAGAGGAGAGGAGAAGGAGAAGTAGTCTCTGGTTGGCTCTTTAGCATAATTACTATTATTTTTGCTAAAATTAGCCCATTTACTCTATAAATATTGGAGGGTCCACCATGTGCCAGGCACATGCTAAAAATGCTCTTAAAGAAGGTTTCACAAAATCCTAAACAATTACTATATAATATTTTTAGTTTATACCATTCGTGGGTTCAAAGTGTGGTGGGGGCTTAATGGACAAGGAGCACACACAAGCTTTACAGAAGAAATGACTGGGAGTTGAGCAGTTGGTAATCCACCTGAGTTAAAACTCTACCTCTGCTACTCCCTCTTTCTTGGTCTCTCCACCTGTAAAATATAATGGCACCATCTTTAACAATTTTGTGTGTGAATTGAGTGAGATAAAACATACAGCATGCTGGGAATATAGTATTTTATTTTAAAACAGTAGCTGCTTTTAATCAGTGAAAATCTGCATATGCCTGAAAATTCCATGTGAGTATTTTATTTTTTACAAATTACAGCATATTTATAATTTGCTATTCAAGTTTTTGTTTCATGGATGGTTGCATCTGAACCTATAATCCTGTAGGCAGAACCACTGAATACTGTCCAGGTTGCCCAAGATCCCTGCACACATATGGCCAGAGTGTTAATGAGTAGGGGTTCAACGATGGGCTCACATATTGTCTCTTCTGCCCAGACTGCCTAGCCTTTGGAACCATCCACACAAGTTGGCTGCATCTTGAAGTTGGGGAGAAAAGGAGAGAAAGACAGAATTTCTCCAGGACTCCAGGACACTTTGAGTTCAGAAACTCTGTGATTCCTCCTTCAGAAAACTCTTGTCCCCTCAGTGGGTGAAGGATCTCCTGTATGATGAATGAACCTTCACCAAATTGTGCAAAATGCCTATTGAGTGTCAACTTGTGCCAGGCATGTGAGTTGCATGTGCTTGCTTGCCATCATCTATAATTCCCATATAAAGTAAGAATGGCTACAGCATCCCAAAGAAAACAGCGGCTTTAGGCCATTCATCACTTTAGGGAATAAAAGTATCCTTGGTTCTTTCTTGTTTTGCTATCTTCTATTATTTCATAGAACCTTGTCTCCATTTCTATTTTTTGAGATCTCTTCCTCTCTCTCATCATCTAGACCAGTGATGGCGAACCTATGACACGCATATCAGAGGTGACACGCGAACTCATTTTTTTTATTGTTTTTTCTTTGTTAAATGGCATTTAAATATATAAAATAAATATCAAAAATATAAGTCTTTGTTTTACTATGGTTGAAAATATCAAAAAATTTCTATATGTGACATGGCACCAGAGTTAAGTTAGGGTTTTTCAAAATGCTGACACGCCGAGCTCAAAAGGTTCGCCATCACTGATCTAGACTGTGGCACAGCACATCTTTGAGAGGGCTTTTACTCCTCACTCACCTCCCTTTTCCCTGTAGGGTTATTTAATTGTGAGTTCTCCTATGACATTTAGGGATTTGGTTTATTAATTTATGTGCATTGTATTGTTGCTAAGTTTGGTCTGTGGTGAGTCCCCAACTAGAACACACACTCTTTGCAGTCAAGGGCCATGTATTTTCTTTCTTTCATGGTCCTGATGTCTTTTAAGGGTGTCATCAAAGCAATTTTCAAAAAACAACTCCCTAAAATAGGGCCAAAGAATATTTGAGATGTGCTTGGCTGTAATATTATCAAGAGAATGTAGATGTAGTACCTAAACTTTCTGGATATTCCTGAAATACCCACTATTCAAAGTTGGCCTAGAATAAG